CTGGCGCGGTAGGCAAAGCAAAAGTCTTGAACAACGCATGCGCAGCTCCTTTCATATGCAAGTCCTGCTTGCTCACGATTATTGTCAAGGTGCGATGGCCCGTGAATTTGAACAACAAAAGAATTTCGCTCAGTCAGAGACCTGACTTCGCTCCAAGAGCTATCCCTGCACAAGCCCACGTTACCGGAATTAAAAATGGCACCATTTGAATTGGATGCGCTCTCCTGCCCTGCAATCATGTATTCAATTAAGGACACTGCCTGCAAGATGGTAGCTATAAGCAAACCCTCTTTCACCACCAATGCATTGTTGGAAGTTTTCAAGTCGTATTACTCGGTCTATACTCGCTGTCTATTAAACTATTTTTTAAGGAGTTGAAATTTACTTAGGCGAGAACAATGTCCTTTTCTCCGACTGAAACTAGGAGCAAGACAAGAGTGAAATTTACGTCAGTCATAATAATGATTATCGAGATTTCAATCGAGTTTCCACTGGAGAAAAATACGTATCTCGATCTGAATTTATACAGATATTTACTCCATCAAGAACGTCTGAAAGTCTAACCCTGCAGAAGTTTCTCTTGACAGCATGCATATGAGGTAAGGTAGGTCTATCGCTAAAGTTTGCCAAGCGAGAAAGCTGCGACTTGTACATGTTTGGAATTTTCTGCTACTGTTTGTGGCGTTGTGCGAAAGCTGTGCAATACTCGTGGCGATTCTGGTCAACTTTTGATCAATTTTGGGTTGCGAATGTGGCGAAAATCGCAATACAATTTGTCTGACCTCCTCACGACACGACGTTTGTGCGACGTTTTTGAGAAGGTTGGGCGCCTTCGGCCAAATTAAGTGACGGGAATGCGACTTTAGAGACCGTCACGCAAGCATCTTGCGAGCATCGTGCAACAAGCATCACTTTTCGCGGCCACCGACCAGCTAGCGTAACCCCCTGGCGAATCCGAGGTCAGCATCGGCCTGCATACAGCCATGGGCGTAAATTCCAGAGGAGGGGGGTATATATCCCCCCACTTTTTGAAGGGGGGGGGATGGGCTATTGAATTATCCCCCAATTTTTTAATGCGAAAACATTAAAGCTGATTTTGAAGAATTGTCATGATTTCCAAACGACTAAAATGTTTGCAATATCACTAAAGCAGTTTTAAACAGCCGCAAATATACCATTCTGACTTTCTGCATGAATTTGATACACACATTCGCCCCTATATTATAGTGCATTGTGTCGCCCCGCCCCCTTTTTAAAATTTCCATGGCCGGGCAATTCACCCCCCCCCCTTACCCCACCCCCAACACAGATTTACGCCACTGCATGCAGCTTCTAGGGAAGATGGACGCGTAGGACCACGCGGAAAGACCTTCAAGACCAGCCCCCAGCTCCAGGCCTGGGTTTTCCCTGATCAACCCAGTGAAGTTCCAGGACTAGCCCAGGGTTTGAGCCATTTTTTTTTCTGTTGGCGACATTTTTGAGATGGTTTGGCGCCCGTTTGCACGATATATACTTGCGAAGGTGAGAAAGCCGGCATAGCGACAGGCGCCTGAAATTTTGACCATGTTCAAAATTTGCGCACACATCTTTGCGAACTACATGTACATGTATATAGGAGAACGTTTGTCGAATTCTCTCGAACGTTTCGAGGCATCTTGGCATGGTTTTTTCAACATGTAATTTGCGACGTGCCGAGACTCAAATTCACCGAAGTCGCAAAGCCTAGTGGTATAGCTTTAAATTTGCATTAAGGTCGGCCAAGTCCGAGTCAGGTTTTCTCTACCTCCAAGATCCGACTCATGATCCGCTTTGAGCAGAAGCACTCCCTCATCGGTTGAAAAGGGCCATGTTGGTGGGCAGTGTTCATGTTTTGTTGGTAGCGACGCCGCCGGCGAGCATTCCATACTCGTTTGCACATCTTTTGGAGAACTAGTAATGCAAGGTTGCAGCCGCTCATTGGCCAAACGTTACTGATCTTACCGAATCGTTAAACTATTGCTCCTTGCATGCAAGGAAGTAAATCTCAGGGGGTTGGGGTCACATAACCCCGCCACTTTTTGACCGGTGGGGTGGGCTATTGAATCATTCCTCACTGTTTCGTGATGAGAAAACAAAAACCTGCTTGTGAAGAATTTTTCGGACTTAACAACTAAAATGCATTCAACAGCTCTCAAAACGGAGAACAATGAAAACGTAATCAAAATGCCGTTCTGATGTAAGATTCTGCAGAAATGTTATACATAATGATGTACATGTACATCATGAACATCGTGCCCCATACAAAAATACAAATGTAGTCGCTGTCAGGCTGTCCGCACCCGCGCCACTTTTCAAATTTCCAAGGCGGGATAAGTCACCCCCCAAATTCCTCCGGCACACAATTACGCCATTGATTGATTCGGATTGGTTGACGTTGTCTAGTCATGAGATCATAGTAAAGGGGCCACTCGCACTGGGCCTGTTTTCGAGTTACCGGCTGAGCATCCCGGCAGGGTAAGTTGCTACGCACGCCTTGACTGAAGGCTATTTTCAAACTGCGTGCACCGAGAGCAACCTGCAGGAGTATACCCAGCAAGAAATGAGACCGAGGGGTACCCCCCCAACACGTCCAATCCCTATACACATTCCAGACTATTGTTACTTAACACATCCCCCCAAGATGTCTGAAAAGAATTCCCCAGATTCCTGCGAGACAATGACCAACACAAACCGGGGGGGGGGTTCTCTCCGTCTCGTACCTTGCTGCATATGTGCAGGAGTCTTGGTGAAATAGGCCCACACTGTATGTACAAGACATGCACGAATAGGAAAGTGTCCAGAAACATCTATTCACAATGGGAAAGTGTCCAAAAACATCCATTCACGTGGCTTCCTTTTCTGACGCAAAGGTTACTGGGAAATCCCCAGACTCGGTTTCGCGCCTAGTCTTCTAAGCAAATCCACGCCCCCACACACAGTGCTCCCTGGCCCTGATCGTGAACACGTCTAGTCGAGTTGAGTCTAGTTGCCACATGTCATGCCCGTGGCATTGAACACAGCGAACAGTGTATTAATGTATCATCGGCTGACTGGTGTGCTACATGCATATGTACAGTACATGTATGTGTATGCGATGAGTGTTGGCAGTGTGTTGTCTAAAAATACACCCTAGGAATTACACACAACGTCTGGGGTTTTCCAGCATGCTTGTATGTACATGTACATGCTTAATAACGCTGCGCATTTCCTGGATGGTTACGGGTTTTTTGGCCACTCATGCACGCCGATCACCAGTTCGACTCCGTCGGCGACAGTACTAAGAGTTAAAAGGCTTCGTCGTTGAGGTGCATGCGTGGGTCCACACACGTGGAAGCTCTTGAATTTCACCTGAAAAGAAATTTGGAAATAAACCCGAAATAATGGCGGACTCGAAGTCGAAACTGCCGTTCGACGCCGAGTATGCAAAGAGCAACAAATCGAAGTGCAGACTGTGCCAGGACTTCATCATCAAAGAGAAACTCAGGTTGGCCTTGATGGTGCAGGTACGCTAAGTTTTGAAATGGAGTGTTATTTTTCAGTACTGTCAGCCGTAACTGAAATCCATTCTCGTGTCCGACGGCGAATGGCGTGGTGACGGTAATTTTAGAGGAAAAAACTCAGATGACCTGGCTGTGCCGTGCATGTACATGTACGGGGATGGATGGACCATGAAATGTAAACAGCCCGGGTTGTGTGGCTAAATCGTCACATGTCGATATTGTGTACCATAAAATGCAGATAAATCGTGAAATTAGGCCTATAATATAATTAATTAGAGAACGGGGTGGATGTCAAATTTATGTATGAAATTGGTGTAGATCTATAGTGAAAATAAGTTATAAAAAATTTAGATAATGGCAGCTATGCGGAATTGATATTTTATAGAATCCATTTCAACAGAAAAAGTATGGAAAATCAAGGGCAACGCTATCGGATGCAAACTAGTATTTTATGCATTATACCGCGATAGCAAGTGAAATATGAACACGCCCGCGCAGTCTAATATTAAACATGCTGTGTGACACGATCTATACGTTTAAAATGAATCGGTTCGCGGCAAATTCGCGTGAAATGCATGATCAAAAAGTTGTGAACCAGCTGGCGATCCATGTGTCAGTACAGTGGGTGCACAGGAGTAAACTCGATCGAATGAAAATATCAAAGTCATGGCAGAGGAAAACGAGAGAAACTTTCCATTTCGTGCGGAGTATGCCAAAAGCAATAGAGCTGGTTGCAAGTGCTGCAAAATGTCCATTGCCAAAGATAGACTGCGAATGGCTAAAATGGTGCAGGTAAGCACGTGAAAATCTGCTTGGATTGTGAGGTTTGTTCCTACCGCCGTACTTATGCTCTGATCCATCCAGACAGCTTGCTGTTGGTGCATGCATGGTGTATGGAGCTATTGGTGTGATCGTGGTGTAGGCATGTCCATGGTGTGACTGGCCGGCAGAAAGTGTCAACTGGTACTGCCAAAGGCCTCACCATGCTAAGGTTACACATGCAATGAAGACTACTCAACAGCTCAAATACTGCATGGCATGTAGGCTTACATGGATTATTTTTCTGGAAACCATAGCTAAACTAAACCTACATCATTTACAAATTACAAATGAGAACACTTACATGAGAAATCTTATTACCGATCCAACTAGGGTCACTACCGCATCTGCAACTTTAATCGATAATATATTTTCTAATATATTACACCTTCCTGCATCTGGGAGGTGGTTACGGATATATCTTATCATTTTTCCTATATTTACTTCCTTTAGCTTGACTGTCAATCGTCCTAGTCCATGCTTCACTTCCGTACGCGATTATTCTCACAAAAATGGAGCCAACCTAAAACAAGCACTTCACAAATATGACTGGTCCTCGCTCTTTAATACGCAGGATGCTAAGTTCATGGATATATTTACACTCACGTTGAAAAGTATATCCCTTATAGACGTAATCAATCCAGGTCAAGCAAATGCACTCCTAAATTGCCCTGGGTCACTGTTAATTTTGTAAATCTATTGAGCATAAGAATAAGCTTAATCATAGGTTTATGTCGAACCCCACAGATGCGAATCGTACTAAATACACACGCTATAAAAACATTTTAACTAGTGCCATTCGTACCTCTAAACGTAATTATTATACTAAACAAATCGACAAAGAAAAGGGTAATATTAAAAATACTGGGAAGATAATTATTCACATACTCCATACTAACTCTAAGTCTAAACCGCAATAAGTATTATTGATGTAGAAGGTGTTGCTACTAGCAATCTACACTTGATTACTAATCATTTTAATGAATTTTTTATAAATATTGGTAAAAACCTCTGTCAGTAATCAAATTCTTTCTAATCTTAATTATTCTGAGTATTTACTGGACCCTCAACCTAATTCTATATTTTTAAGTCCTGATATTGAGGAAGAAATGATTGATATTGCACATACATGTATGTTGCCAAACAAAAAGAGGTCTGGCTTTGATTTAATTAGTAACTCACTGGTTAAGGAAGTGATCTGGGCAATCTCCAAATCGCTAACCTTTATTATGAACATGTCTAAATCGACAGGTGTAATACCAAATGATATGAAAGTTGCTTGTGTTACTCCTATTTTTAAAAGTGGCAATCTTGATCAAGTACATGTACATACTTATAGGCCTATCTCGGTTCTTACTACTTTTTCAAAAATTCTTGAATGACTATTTCACAATCGTATAATGGACTTTTAAGGCGAACACGGCATAATTTCTGATTCTCAATTTGGATTCCGTGAAAACCACTCAATGTCACATGCTATTATTCACCTAATTGATGAAATAACTACTAATTTACATGCATCTGCCGTTACAATTGGTTTATTCCTGGACCTCTCCAAGGCCTTTGATACACTCGATCATAGTATTCTTCTTAACAAACTTGCTTATTATGGCATTAGAAGAACCACCTTGGAGTGGTTCAGGAGTTACCTTTCAAATCGTCAGCAATTCGTATCTGTTAATGGTACTCGGTCCTCTCTCAGTACAGTTTGTGATGGAGTTCCGCAAGGATCCATTCTGGGGCCACTTTTATTTTCCATCTATATAATGCCTTTTTAAAATCTTCTGATTTGTTAAAGGTATTTTATTTGCTGATGACAGTAACCTATTCAATAGTCACCCTAATATTAATACTCTTTTTTATAATGTTTATCTTGAGCTTACCAAAGTTTTAAACTGGCTTAAAGCAAATAGGTTGTCTCTTAATATTAAGAAGACTAACTATATGGTGTTAGTAAAAAGCAACATCACTAATTACCTGAAATCTTTATTGATGATGTACAAATTGATAAAACCGATTGTGTCAAATTCTTAGGTCTGTATATCAAATCGAATATTTCATGGAAAAACAAATCAGTAATATTTGCACGACTGTTTAAAAAAATATCGGAGTTATATGTAAACTAAAGCCACTTCTCCCTCAGGATGTACCATTTAAACTTTACAATACTTTAATTGTACCATATCTATCATATGGGATATTAGCCTGGGGTAATTGTGGGGTTAGTTTAACCAGTAGAATACTTACACTGCGAAAAAAGTTTTAAGAATGATCTACGCTGCCACCTACATGTACCTTGAACATGGTAGTGCGCTGTTTTATTTGTACAAAACTCTCAAAGTAAATGATATATATTTCCTTCAGCTTGGGATCCTCATGCACCAGTTCAACACTAAAAAATTACCTAAATCCCATTTGTTCTATGTTTATCAAAAATGAAGAAGTGCACCACCATTTCACCAGACAGCACAAGAAATTTTATCATTCTTTTGCATGTACTACCCTCACACAAAATACAGTCAAGCATGAGGGCCCCAGGCTGTGGAATTCTTTAGACGCCTCTATAAAGAATCTAGGGAACCTACAAACATTCATGTGTAAATATAAAGCTAAACTATTAATTGGTTATTCAAATTCTATTTAACATCATTTAATTTTTGTGTCTTACAGGGTTAAAAGACTTAGTTTTTACGTGTCTCACTGTCTTGTCTATTTGTATGTCATAATTATTGTATTGTTCGTAATAATGTGTATTATTCCTAATGGGATCCCTACTCGACAAGCGCTGCTTCTATGAGACCCCATCCACAACCATTTTCCTTCCTGTTATATCTTTACTGCATATAATTAGGTCAAAATTGCATCAGTATATATTTAGATATCCATTTTGAATGTTTTCTTTCTGTTTTTCAAATTCACATCTGTGCAGTCCCCATACTTTGATGGCATGCAGCCAAACTGGTACCACTTTGACTGTTTCTGGAAGGTGGTTAAGGGCTCGGTGAAATCGACAGCCGACATCGGTAAGAAAACATCAGCCAGCGCATTGATCATATGACAGCCCACTGCATTCTGGATGTACATGTCAAGTCATGAGTTGGGGCATGGTGTTTCTTCTGCACCCCAGAGAAACACATGTGGTTCTCAAGATAAAGCTAAGGGTGCCATGCCATGAATCCTTGAGGGGGGTGGGTAGCATGTCTTGCCCGTCATAGCAGACAGCTGTTGTTTCACGGTATGTTGCATTCAAAAATACAGTAACTCACTCTGCAAGAAGTAAATCACGTCACTGCAGGGTAATCTGTTTGCTTTCCTTCTGGGTACATGATTGAGAGGCAGCAGTGCTATGTTGTAAAGTGGGTGCACTGTTAAATCACTCTATCTGCCTTGAGCAGAAGCACCCCCTCATTGGTTGAAAAGAGACATTTTAGTTGGGCATGTCCATTTTGTTGTTAGCGATGCTGCTGTAGCACTTGCATTTCAAAGTCACTTGTGAACCAGTGATGCGCAGTTAGTACCAAAGGAGCCTCCATTGTTAATTGAGGAAAATTGCGCCCTCTCTTGGTCCTGCTGGGAGCCCATAGAGTACCAAAGTGTGACGTCATTGTGACCAGAAAGTAGAGTGCAGATAAGTGGAGTATGCACATGTGGGTTCACGCACTGGTTGACATGCTAATGTCTTTTGCCCATATGCATGTAATTGTGTACGTGATGTAATCACTTTGGTACTCTGTACATGTATTATAATTGCACAGTGCATTCCAGCTTTTCAAAATGCACTCCTGACATGCTCCAAATTTTCCTGGTAGGCTTGCTAGATTTACCAAGACGGAATTTGTTTTTAGATCATTCCCATTCACTGCTCTCGCATAGTTACACTGCCAAGGCATCTGTGCTTCAGGGGAATTGTACAAATCCAGTCACTAGCCCAAACTACATTGTTCATGTGCATGTACTTGTGCCATTTCAAAGAAGATGGCTTGTGGATGCTATAGAGTAGCAAAGTGTGACGTCATTTTGAACAAACAAATGTAATACCGATGAATGGAGTATGCACGCGCATTGGTTCAGACGCTGGTTCTTGCTCTGATGCCTTTTGCACCCATAATTACACATGTGACATATTCATTATAATTGTCTCTGTGTCATGCTACACGGTGTTCATATATCAAGACCATATGCAAGGCAGTAAGCATTTTCGTTTTACAGATCCACATTATGCCAGCTACAGTGCCAGACTGCAGGTTCATGTTTGGGCTCAGCTGGCAGTTTCCTTCCAACTCTCTGAGCTTTTGTTGCCAGTTACAGGGAAAGAGTGTCCTCCAAATTCTGCACCTCAGTGTTTAGGAGTGTTTTTCATTTCCATGTAAATCTCAGGCAGTTGGAAAACATCACACTTTTCTATCAGAAACTCAAAACACATCTTTTTATGCTGGCTTTTGTCTTCAACTGAGGTTTTTGTTTCAGATCAGCACCTCTGAATGGTCTCAAGAGACCACACCCCTTATGAATTTTCTGCCAATATTAGCTTAACATTTGACAATCCTAATTTGATAAAATTTCAGCATCAAAGACGTAATAGATAGGGATTTGCCGAATATCCGAATAACTGCATATTCGATTGATTGCCTAATATTCGAATATTATTTTTTGAATTTGAATATTCGAATCCAAACTTCATGAACAGGAAGGGAAAATCTTCTTTTATTTTAAATTAGAAAAATTGCACCATGGAGGCTTGTTTCAAGCAGATTCAAATGAAAAGCGTCAGAAATCTTACAACGATTTAAAAGTAAATTACTCATTAAACAATATAAAAGGACATTTTCAACAGGGCAAGAAGTCTTGTTCATCTTTTAAATGTTGCTAAATTGTGGCTGGAGATACTCCTAGATGTGAGAAGTTATTATATTCATCATAATGTACAATTGTGTGTGTTATTGCAACTGATTTTGTATATGTTTTGTTCATCAACAATCTGCCGGTCGGTGCAACCGAATATTTGGATATTCAATCAAATTTAAGGTTGAATATTCGAATAGTGAATTATTCGAGTTGACTCAGCCCTAGTAATAGAAGTAACTTGCTTGCTGCTACAAGTGTCTTGAGATATTGTGTATGATGCAGTAATCAAATTATTTACCATCCCCATTAAAGGAATTGTTTGTTCTGCTCTTACACAGGTCACTTTGACGCCCTTCGTTGGGACGATCAGGAGAAGATCAGAGAGCGCATCAGTGCCAGTGGTACCACAGCAGCCAAGGCTAAAGGGGAGACGCTAGAAGACTTTGCAGTAGAGTATGCCAAGTCCAACAGGAGTGTCTGTAAGGCATGCGGAGAGAAGATTAATAAGGTACATGTATGATACGTGTGCCTGAACTTAATGTGCTTGAGTTTTATAGTTTACATACATGTACCTACTGTGGATTTGAGAACAAAACAAGTCCACGCAATGTAGTTTGTGTATAATTTTTGAGTCGTGCGCACCTCATGTGGACTTGAAGATTGGCATAATTCAAGATTCAAGATACTTTATTGTTGAGTAAAAAAAAGTTTTCACACGAAATTTGCTCTCCGAGTGTTTCAGGAAATAATATTACAGTATACTACATAGATGTAAAAAAAATTCTAAAGCATTAATCAGAACTAGTTTCAAAACTATTAAATTCAGTTACATTATGGTACATTACAGATAGGATCGTTTAGTAATAAAAAAGATAAACAATTTAGAAGAAGGGGGGAACAACGAAGACCTCGCACAAGGCAGAATGACAAAACATGAAATATGGAAGAGAAAAATAAAACCAAAACTAATCATCAAATAAAATATGCATTAAAAATACGGATGGCCAATGGTAAAAAAGAGGATTTCATTCTATTTGTTTTCCAAGACAGTTGGCACATTCTGCCAGATCGGTTTCAAATAATAAAAGGGTTGAGAGGATGGGTAACATCAGACATAATTTCATTAAACTTGGATACAACATGACACTGAGCTATTTCCTGGATGTTCTGAAAGTCAGCACCAATAATCCTTTTCGCTTGCTCGTTAACACGTTGAAGTTTGTTACGATTGCACAAAGTGAGGGAATCAAACCAACTTATGCAGCAGAAAATTACTGTCAACTGTACAATGCTCTGTAGGTTGCCTGAACCTTGAGTGGCATCACCAAAACAATCACCTGTCTCACTTCTGCTCCTCTCCCACTTTGCACTTCAGAATGACGTCCGCATCAATTACAAGAGCTCCATTGCGGCAGCAGCGAAAGGCCTGCCTGGTACCATGGACACGTGGCACCATCTGAACTGCTTCGTCAAGCCAGACCTGCTGGCCACCGTCCAATGGAGAGACACCAACTCTGTGGACAAGATTGACGGCTACAAGAGACTGAAGACAGAAGACCAAAAACTGATGAAGGAGAAGTTCCCTACGTACGGTTTTTGATTCTAGAGCATTTTTGATTGGGAAATGAGTCACTTGACATAATGACAGTGGTACAGAAGTACGTACAGAATACTTGAAAGTAGTCCTCTGTAATAGCTGTTAGTAAGCTTCTGGCAATATACTTCACTTCATGGATTGGAACATTTCATCTGTCACCTTGTGAAATTACTCTTTGGACCCACAAACATTTGCTGTTTTTAATATGTTACATTTTCAGCAGAAATGAAAGACTTCTCCATTCTTCTGATGAGCTTGTTTTCTTTTTTCAATCAAATTCAAATTGCGGACTTTGTCTGAAGTTTTGCCGTTCCATTGATTGAATCTTTGTGGCTCCCACAGAAAGCGAAAGGCCAGAGCGTCTGTCGATGAGCCTGATTCGAAAAAAGCCAAAGTGGTTGACGAGGAGAAGGAAAAACTCAAGGTAACTGGGCTATGTCTGAATTACAGAAGGTAAAGGGTCAGTAGAGGGGAACGGTCTGCTGTTTGTTCCTCCATCCCCTAGTCTGACCATGAGGGGTTCAAATTCCTGTTAATTCATTACTAGCTCGGAAGTTGAAAAGATAAAGTATTGGCTCTTCCTTGGGCCTGAAAAGCATTTGTTGAAACAAAGTACCAGCACTTTCTGTCATGCTCCAAACTGCTCTGCAAAGATTGTATAATTTGCAAAGATTAAAATTTCCTTATCAGTATTTAGGTTTTGACCATGTAGATAAAAGGGACTTCTGAAGATGAACCGGATACATTCTTGCTGGTATTGCTAGCTTGAATTAATCTTCTGTGAGTGGGTTCTTGATAGATGTTCCTCTAAAATTCTGTCATTGAGTACCACAACAGTTCAACATGCTGACTTTTCTCGATCAATTCACAGTATCGCGTACCACCAAGAGATTTATCTTGATATACGAATGTTTTGCAATCCATTTAGGAAAAAAATGACGACATTTTGCTTCAAAAGGCAGTCCGTTCTTACATACAGACTTTAACCCTAGGCCTGCCAGACGTAGCACAGTCCATCAGGTTAAAAGTCTGGTGCACTTTGATGCACCTCGCAATTAACAGCAGCAGAACAAACTGGTCATGTTGAGACAATGGGGGCTAGTCCCATTGAACAATGCCAACGTTGGATCTTGTGGTAAATCGCAACCACAGACTCCCAGGCTGTTTGGCCTTGGGGAGAGTTGACCTGCTAGATCTTGTTACACTGTATGGGCAAGCAAGCCACTTTGACAAATGATGTAGTTTGATGCATCGGGCAGGGTTTCTAGCCAAAGTAGGCTGGGGGTTAGAGGTGAATCAAGAGGGACACTGTTTGGCATTTACTACTACTTGACAGATGTTTAGTGTAAAATATTACATTTATGGAAATCTTGGAAAGCCTTGGAAATAAGTATTTAGCTGTGTTTTATCAACCATAAACAGTGACGGTTTGATGATGCAGGAGGTCAACTGTGAATTTGAAAAGGCCTCGAGGGGAAAGTTTTGTGATACTTTGGTTTTTGTCAATCCAGTTCAACGAAAGACAATGAAGATAAACCATGAAAATCACGCCAAGCTATGTTGCATCTCGTTTGACGCTCTAAAACATAACCTGCCGATGATGTACACGTTGATAACTCCTTTTGTCTCTTCCTGCTTTTCATGCAGGCTCAGAGTAATTTTGTCTGGAAAATCAGGGACGAGCTGAAGAAGAGTGTTGCCATTTCTTCGCTGAAGGAACTGTTGACAGCCAATGGACTGAGTGTACCAGCTGGTGAAAGCAAAGTAGGTGATGGGCCCCAGCCAAAACATAGTTCATAGGAAAGAACCAAAGCCCTTATGGGGGGAAGGTATCATCACTCTTGCACATGTCCAGTCTCGGCTTATTCCATCCCTAGTAAATTAGTTTGCTGAAATACCCACTGAGAGTGATCTCAGAAGTTTAACCACTCCCTGCCGGGCGACCTGTTTTCGAGTACATAGGCTTTATATGCAGAGCCGGGGAGCCCGGAACTGGAACAAAAGAGTTGGACCTTAAAACAAAAGACCGTGCTCAGCACAAAAGACTGAGCTGCTGGGCATTACGGACATTTTTTTCTCTCTTAATATTGGAGATAATCCAGCCTTGTTTTGAAACAGTATACCACGGTTTTAGGCATTTAGAGCAAGTGGATTACCTCCGGGGACAAAGCTCTCCACCACTGCAGCGATGAGCCAGACAACACTGCTGCACACTAATCTGGCCCCTATTGAAAAGAGGTCAGCAGTGCACTGTGCCGGTTTCGGGAACAAAAGAATCGTACGTAACACCACACAATCTGGGCTCTTTTTCCAAGGCTGCAGGCGTGGCTGAAATATTCAGGAGTCAATGAAGGTTACTTGTCAGCTTTAGAGTAGTGCCCAGAGAGTCTTTCATTATGGTATAAACGGCCATTAAATGAAATGATGAATTTTTGAAGAATTTTGAAAACGGAAAATCTTGAGAAGAAGCCGGCATCTTGTCTTGCTAAAAAAAAATCCACCTGGCAGCAAGTGGTTAACAGATGCCCCAGAATTGTTGCATCCCTTCAAGATAGGCCCCAAGTGTGAGATGAAACTGTTGAACCCAAACTAACTTTTCCGTCTCGTTTTGGTACGCTGATACTGGCCTGTGCATTTGGTTGGAGTTCGAATTTGTTAACCACTTTAAAAATTACTACATGTGTGCACTGTTGCTTATCTGACTGTTAAAATCACTTCCAGGAACTGAGACTAGTTGATGCGATTTATTTAATGCCAGTACTATTTATGCTACAGTGAACTGCTGACTCCTGAAAATGCATATACATGTAGATTGTTGGTATGAAATAGGTAATCCACTCTTGTGGAAAGGTCTGGTTTCTGAAGCTTGAGCGGCCCCCGGACCTCACACCCTATGGTCTCATGCTTTGCGCTTGCATTAGTTTCCACCTGCATTAGTCCCCACCCTTGGCACCAACCTTTGTCTTTCACAGTTGGAGAAATCTGTTCAAGGAGTGCCTGCAGGAGTATTATCATGCTGCATATTTCAGAGTGAACTCTCACATTGGTTTCATTTAAAACCTAGACCTTTCCACAAGAGAATTAGTTTTCACAGTCTGCCATCCCCAGATCATACTCTTGTCAGTATTCCACCACGTAAAGCTTCAATTTATACTAACAGGATACAGTCTATTGTTAGTTTAAGTCACAATGGGTTAAAGTGCTTCTTAAATTCAACCCTGCAAATCAAGGTTTAAAGCCTGGAGCCATGATGTCATAATGTTCATTTTAGGTGGTCCCTATATTTTTGATGCTATCTTCAGATCCTTGACCGAGCAGCAGACTGTATGGCCTTTGGCCCCACCAAGCGGTGCATGGAATGCGACAATGGTCAGTTTGCCCTGACCACAGGTGGCTATCAGTGCCAGGGTAATATGTCCTCGTGGACGAAGTGCACGGTCTTCCTGCAGGATGTCAAGAGGGGAAAGCTGATCATTCCCCAGGACTTGGACGAGGAATACCTGTAAGATTTACCGATCGATTTCCCCTCCTCTGTAAACATTTTTCTGTTATCTGTATCCTCACCTTAGATGGATGCCACTATCTATGAGATTAACAAAATGAGAATATGAAGACCCTTTTTTCAGAGGAAAATGTGAAGTCACTTCGAAACAGAGTAAAAGTCTCGAAAATTGATCCTCAAGCAATTTCTCACTTTGCTGGGTCCAACCTCATTCAGTCATGTCTTTAAGTATGCTTGGACCTGTTGACAAATTAAGTTAACTTTTTTCCTCTCTCCAGGACAAAATTCAAGTTCAAGGCCTACAATGGCGGCAAACGAATCTTCCCCAAGGAAGAAGCTGGAGCAGGGCCATCAGGAACGTAAGATAACGCCCCCTTGACTTTTTATATCACCAGAGGAGATTTTTGGCACTAGCTGAGCCTTTAGGAGTTTTTTCAGTAATTCTGCAGTAATTTTGACACCATTTTAGAGAAAACGGAACATACCATTCTCACCCAGCGCCCATTTTCTGATACATGTCGGCCAAACAAACCTACAGTTTCACTGCCGTGCTCAATACATGCTGGCTGGCATGTGTGTGGCCTTCAACTTCAAAGGACCGTAACAAAACCGAATGACAAATTGAGTTATAACTTCACATAACTACTGATAACGAATATCTTTACTTGCATACCAAGGCATGTGATGGGGTGGGGGGGTGGAATCCCTCCCCCAAGCCACACCCTCCCCAACTGTGACATGGTCCAAAATAACCTAGCTCTTTTAAGGTTAAGCAGGAGGTTTGGAAAATTGTCCATTTCAAAATCATGACAACAGTAAACATAACAGGAGTGGAAAAAAAACTTTTACTCTATTGTACATAGGTCTGTTGGTAACTTGCATTCTGTGAATGACATGGCCAATTCACTACGGCATTTACCTTTATATTTTTCTAGCTTTCACAAATTTGTTTGTTTTATCCACTGTCAATTTTCCAACAATAGAGGCTTTGCATGGTAGCCATCTTCCAGGCCAGGTCTTTTGTTCCACAGGGGAACCTCCTCTGTGCATACCCTGTGGAACAAAAGAACTGGCCTGCAAGATGGCAGCCATGAAAACCCTCTATACTCCCTTGTTAAAATTTTGGCAATGGCAGAGGAAGATTTAGCCTTGCTTGTGGCACCAAAGACTCATTTGTAGGTTTTATCATATCTGTTTGAATATGGATCCCTTTTTGTAGCAAAACATCGACATTGATAAAACTGAATCACTGGTTACCTTACTACAGTAAAAAGCCCATCAGAGATGATAAGAACCCATTGCTGAACCTGGACATAGCCTCGGCCGGGAAGTTGGATATCAGCGCCAGTGCAGTGAAGGACGTTGTCAAGAAATTGGGGGGGACATACGTAAACAGTGTCTCCCGCTCCACGGCTTGTGTAGTCAGCAATGCAGGTTGGTGTTTGGAAAGGTAGCTTTCGGGGGGGGGGTAGTTGTTGGCACCTCTACCTGTTGAATGCTATGAGCCCCGAGCTAGACCAAGAGAGGGCGCAGTTTTCCTAGCAACAGAGGTTCCTTCGATGAGAACTGCATTTAGCTGGTTCGCAAACGACCATGAAACACAAGCATTACGATGGGAGTCACTCCCGGCAAAAAACACTCCCTGCCGTCCGCCCCCAGTTGAACTGCACCCCCAAGCGGCAAAAGAAAGACAGATTTTAATAAGTTTTCCAAGGGGGTTCTTGCACGCATTCTGCGTGTACGAAAAAACCATACATTAAAGAATAAATTTGTCACGCATACTCGGCGTGCTCAGCATCAAATGCCCCGTTGATCTCCGTTATAAATGCGCGCTTATGTGGTGACACATGCCCTCTTTTGTTCCACTTGGAGCGGACATGGCTCTTTTCAACCGATGAGGGGGTGCTTCTGCTCAAGGTGGGTAGGAGTGTTACAGAAATGCCAAGTACTTTTCACGGTTCCAGCTTTCAATTGTTGGCAACTGGCAAATATTTACAGACTTTGGGTATGATCCTGAGTAAATGGTGAGAAAAGTGTCATATTTAGCACTGCATAGAAGTAGAAGTGAAAGCTGAATCTTTCACCGTGCTTCATAATCAACCAGCTGGAACCCTGTTGTGGTGAAACACAAAGGGACCCCCCAGTTTGGTCCAACATTTCTTAACAGAAGCAATTATACCTCTATCTGCCTTGAGCAGAAGCGCCCCCTCATTGGGTTGAAAGAGCCATACTGGTAACTCAAGGTTGACCCCCGCGGTTCTCTATAATGAGCTCATTATTTTTGGGTCAATGCACACTAAGCTCTGTGGTTGTCAGAACCTGGATGGTTCCTCTGGCTACAAACGCGCACACTAGAAATGCTTGGTTGCGACCTATACGCCGACTTTAAATTTTAATGTGCAAATTTTTGATTGGTGCAGCTATACTCCGTGCGGCCTATATTCCGAAAATTACGGAAAACACATAGGAACCTTTATTCAACTTTGATCTTTTTATTCAATATAAATTCATGCCATGCATTGTTAAACAATGAGTTATCTCTCCAATGTTTCTTCTCAACTCTGTTGCTTCCCCATCTTCATTCAAAGCCCCAAATCTTTGTTTGCACGCATGTCAGACCAGGGTAGCACACAATACTGTAGGTCACTTGGTCTGAAACTCTCCACCAAAAAAGTCAATCTCAGTTGTTATTTTACCGATTTCAACCGTTTAAAAAATGAAATGAATCAACAAAAGCAGGAGATATCCAATGTAAAGAAAATATCCACAGATATCATGACAATTTCAAAACCTACAAGGCTGAGTCCCCAAAGGTGGTGTTTATCAACACTGACAAGTGATACCACTAATCCTTTAATCCTCTGATTATACTGCAAAAGCAGCCTTTTGTTCGAGATGCTTTCCCTCTTCCGACTCAGCTCTTTTGTTGTAAACAGCCATGGGAAATCTGAGCTGAAGTTGACCTGAATATCCACGAGTGTATTGTATTTCATATGCATAGTGTCAAACCCCGAGTTACAGCAAGGCTCAACCCCGAGTTGAAAAAGGAATTCCCCCAATGGTATGTGTTGCATTTCATAGTCATTCATGAACCCGTGAAGTGCTGTTCCCACCAAAGGAGCCTCCATTGGTAAGAAAATTGCGCCCTCTCTTGGTCCAGCTCAGCTTTCATAGTGATGTTAGTGTGATATCGGCCAGGTTACTTGACCCCACCCCCTCATAGTCCAAAACCCACAAGGCAGTTGTGCAAGATTTTTAGACGTAAAGAAACTGCAGACCTGCCACTTATGTGCGTGATATTTGAGACCCCTTGAATGCTAAAAGAGTGTGCCATTGATCTCCATGTTCTCAAATGGGCTTTCAGACCCAAGGCTATGTCCATGTGGCCGCATGGTTAGGGTTTGTAACTCCTGATTGCTGGGTAGGGGTCCCAATCCTGTGATCAGTTGCACTTCGTGACCTTGAGCAAGTCACTTTACCTTCACTTGCCCCTTTCCACCCAGGAGTATACATGTAAGTGTTTGCTTGTTAGGGAAGAGAGGGTTGTTTTGTGGTTGATAAATCTGAAATGGTTGCCCTGATGGTTGTATACACCTAAGGAGTTGAGAGAGTTTATTGGATTGCTTCTGGGCCCAGTGAGCAGGGATAATGTGTTAAATGCAGTAAGAGTCCTCCAATTACTTAATTGCACTATATAAATATACCATATTATTATTTTTATTATTTGCAATTGACAGGGTCTTCGAACCTTCAAGCAAAAGTGAAGTGAATTTTGACGTCACAAAACATTTGCAGTGGATTTCCCTTGAAATGTTTTCAGCTTTGGCAAAGTTGCAGTGTGTATATCTACTTGATCTGATATCATAAAAATGACATTCATGTTCACTTGTGTGCCAAGCGTGAACAGGCCCTCAGACAGAAAAGTCAGATGTGGCCTGACACTTCGAAGCACTCTCTGTAGGAGTCTTACTTATGGGTAATACCAGAAATTAGGAGTTCATTTGTTTTTGTGTCCCTGTCACATTTGACATATGATTTTGTAAGTTCAGAACACATTTTCCAATTTCCAAGAGTAATCAATTAATGCAAATTACCTGCCAAACAAATAGTAATAGTTTGAAATCAATTCCAGTGATAGTTCCTTGTCAAATAACAAAGGTCAGATGTAACACGGACACAAATATGTCACACTTTTGGACCTCTGATATCGGGAACTACCCTTATCTGAAACATCCTTTTGGATAAAATTCAAAGGGCGCCAAATATCCCGTTCATTATCATTTCTGTCCAAATCCAGTCTCTTTGTGGCTTGTTATCAGATTTACTGGTAGTCTCATCGGCAGTTTCACTGGAGAACCAAGATCCATTTCTTGGCATACAGATTATGCTGTGGCAAGCTGTAGACAGGTGATAACTTGTTTTCTACTCTAATTATGTTCTCAATGCAGAGGAGGTTGACAAAATGTCCTCCAAGATCAAATCGGCCAAGAAGTGCGGGGTGCACGTGGTTGCCCTGGACTTCCTGACGGAAATCGAGAAAGGGGGTGACGTGGTGCAGCTGATCCCCAAACATAGCATCGCCTCGTGGGGCTCAGACGTAAGTGCTCCCCACCCCAGTTTGATTTCCACAGAAATTCTCAGGCTGATGTTATTGAGTCTGGAGCCTCGTCTGTAACAAAGGTGCCACTAAGAAACAGATCCAGACAGTAGCAGCTGGCTTCCTCATTGAGACTGGCGCTCTAAAATTTGATGTGACCTTCATAGGTCCCCAGTATTGGATAGCTGATATTCAGACAGACAGAAAGTGACAAAAGTTTATTTCATCTCAGCCGAAGTACATATATGTGCTTGCACAGTTAGATTTCTGTTGTTTCATTAATGTTTTGAGCAACATCTTTCTTTGAAATAAGCATACTTGTTACAGCTATTAACTGCTTTACAATGCCATGAATGCCAGGATTTGTTGCAGTAAACTGTGTGCTTAAAAGACCTACAGCACAGTGTATCCGCTCCGAGTAGGAACAAAAGAGGTCGTATTTTGAAATGAAATTGACAGTCATTTGGTCACACTCACCGCAAACGTACACAAGTTTATGTGCGTTTGACGCTGAGTACGTGCAAAAAATATAGTCTGGAATATACATGTATGCGGTCTTCATGTGCACGCCGAACGCGTGCAAGAACCCTGTTGGAAAACTTAGTACCATCTGTCTTTCTTTCGCTGGTGAGGGTGCACGGTTCAGGGCGGATAATGTAGTGATGTCAAGCTTTGTACACTTGAACCCCCCGGTACATATACATATAATAACAACAAACCATTGTCCACGAAACACAAAAGAGTTCTTACGAGGTAGAACTTTTCTAGTAGTCATGAAACACATCTCTCAATTTCTGTATTTGTTTTTCATAGTTAGCACTGCATTTTTACTGATGAAGAAAGTTAAGTACGACCGAGCTTTGCTGATGTCAGACTTACTGCTTTTCATGAGCCGTCAAGAGCCAAAAATCGTCCAAGATACCATGTAGAAACCAAACCTATCGCAGAGTGAGGGATTACACCCTTTCTCCACTGAATGCAGAATTGGCAAAAACTGGATGTTGCCATAGTGATGCTTCCATCACAAAATGAGAAAGCAGTACAAATAATGCCAACAGGCTTAATGTACATAGAGCGTGAGAGGTTTGTCGAAGGCTCCAAGCAAATTTATCATCTAGCCAAAAACAAGCCATCCTTCAGAAATATAACCTGGTTGATTCAGCAATCTTGATGATAGCATCCCCTCTTGGGGAGAACAGCTCTGTTGGAAATTGCTGTTTCCGTTTGTAATTGGCTTGCCTAAGTCCAGTGTGGTTGCACTGTTTTAGGGTAAACATTGACCCAGATGCATTTTATTTTAATTTTGAATATTTTTTGTACAAACCAAAGTTCATGTCAAGATTTCTTGTGTCATTTGAACTGTTTTTTGTTTATTCATTTATTTGTTTGGTTCACGTGTATTTGACATACACGTATGTAAATGCCCGTAGAGGTTATGGGTTGATGTACATGTACTTGGGTTCAATCATATATCAATTTTACGTGGAACCATCTGAAATCCATAGGCATGCCCCAACACCCAACTCAAAGCCTTGGACACCCTAATGTGCTTTGTGGGCTTTTGAAATTCACAGTGGTCTAGCCCAGCTTCACAGATTTTTTTAGCAGAAAATCTGTTTTAGAGGCCTATATATATTCGAAAAGGGTTTGGCTACTTGTCACTCATTTTGTTGAGATGGATGACAGTGGGCACCTTATGTTTGTATGCGTAGCTGGGGAGCCCAAAATCAGACAAGGAGCCAGGCTTTTTAACAAAAGACCGCACTCTGAACAAAAGACTGAGCTGCTGGGACTTGAAGATCATTTGTGTAGTTATCAACAGCGGAGGTAAACCGTCCTTTTTTGAAACACTATACCACTATTTGTGGTATTCAATACCAAGGATTACAACCACAGACAAAAGCTCTCCGGCACTGCAGTGCTGAGCCATACAATACCACTGCACGCTAATCTAGCCCCATTGAAATAGATGCCAACAGCCAACTGCTCTAGTTTCGAGAACAAAAGAAAGTTACACAACACCGCACAATCTCGGCTCTCTTTACAAGGCAGCAGGTCTGGCTGAAATACGTGGGCGTCAATAGATGTTGCCTGTCAGATAAGAGTAGCCACCAGACAGTCATTCGGTGGGTTTAAACGTCCAGTAAATGAAGCATTGAATTTTTGGGGAATTTTGAAAACGGGAAATCATGAAAAGCGCCTGTATTTGTGCACGGCCATTTTAATTGAACCCAGCAGCAAGTGGTTAAAACTTTTTGTACTAAAGTATAGGAAATTGAATGTCTTTGTTGGTGCTTGGTATGATCTCACATTATTAAATCTAATGCTTGTGCCGTTGCTTGTGTTTAATAGGCCGTGTGCTCTGAATGTTCATGCGCAGTTATTGCTCTTCTTGAATGCTTTCTAATGGAGTTATTTTGGGGATAAATAGCCAGGTTTATGTTAGATTTTGTGCTTTATTTAAATCATTTTGATTACGGCATTTATACAAAAGTGTATTGTATGAGATCTTATGATCACTCTTTGTGAACACAGGGCATTTTGTTCATCATGAACTTGGCTTTCCAGTGGTGGTCAATGTGTTGTTGGGCAGTCTTAGCCCAATTGTTATCAAGTCTTTGAAAACTGATGTTTTGGAGGGACAAAAATAAACTTGCACTTATTGCATGGTTAATGGAAGAGTGTATCAAAATGAAGTTAATTCACAATGCCAAAAGTAGGTATAACTTCAGGGTGTTGCTCTAGTTGTCGTTTATAATTGCAAGCAAAGCACCTCATGTGTGGCTAGGATATTACTGGCCCACTTGTTAGGGTAAGCTACAGGCAGGAATTGGGCATTTTTGGAATGGGTTCTATTATTCATCTGACTGGGCAGCAATGATCATCGAGCACTTTGAAGTACCAGAGTTGTAACTCCATCTATGTCCTTCCTTCTTCATTGAATTATGTGATTACTGAACATTTGTAATCAGAGTTATTGGTGTGGTGGTTCCTCCCTCGCCTTCCACCTCTTTGGTTCGTTTTTGAATCCTGGCCTGGTCCACATGTGGATTGGGTTTTCAGTCCCTACCTGATGCCCAGGGTTTTACCCAGAATATTCCTCTGGGGTTTTCCTTCCACCTCTAAAACTGTAACTGCTTCTCATTGTCTCCTCTCTACAGGTTTCTTCAGGCTTGTGAGCTAGACTGTCTAGGGCACTTTTGAGGAATCCTTGGTGTCATTATCAGCAATGCTTATGATAAAATAATAATTGCAGCTTCCAGTAACAATGTCTCTTGTGCATTTGTTTGAAGGTTGAAAAAAGGATTGGCAAAGACGAGACGGACAGCATGGCGTCTCTTCAGCAAGCCAGCTACAAGAGCTCAGGTATATGAACATGTATGACATGCGTCAGATGTTCAATTGAGTTAGCCCCTCATGTTAAGCATCCAATATGGTGTTGAGTATTTGATGCAATTGTGCATGTTACATGTAGTTATGCCAATGAAATCATTGTGGGAAAGAGGCACTCTGTTTGGGCCTACACATGTCTAGTTGAGCTGAAATTGTTTCCTCTTTTGTGGTTGTCTTTGCCGTACTTTCGCAGATCCAGGTTCTCCAAAACTAAAGAAATGGTCATTTCACAGGTCTGAATCACTCAGAGACACGTTTTCTGAGGAGGCCAGGTAAACCTGGTCAGCTGACCAAATATGGTCAGCTGACACTCACCAACCAATCAAATGCTCTTAGCTGATTTCTGCTAAAAATGAAGTCATAGTTACTAATATGACTCTTACTGGCTAGCATGCTGGGTTGTGGAAAAGTTGTATGATCAAACATCAGATGTTGTTTGGTAGCGGCGGGCTTCATCGAACGATGGACGACACTCGGACAAAGACAAAAAATCCCAGCATCGAGTGGTTCATCCAGTATCAGGTTGGAATGCCTCTGTCATTTTCTGTTTGGTGCTGAATTTATGTCAGCAGTCAGAGAATACCAAAACCATTCTTTTGTGTGAATGTGGACAGGCTTTGGACGGGCTGCCAACAAGAGTGCTGCCTCCGGCGGTGTCAAGAAGGTACAGTTGAAGGGCGGAGCAGCTGTTGATCCCGAGTCGGGTAAGTGAACTGGTTTTTGAAATGTAATTTGCGGCATGGGTAGTTGTGATATTTGGCTGTGATCTCATTGGTGTTTGAGATATTTCAAGTGTGCCCTCTGGTCAATCCATTATCATCCCCAGGCCCTTATCTGGTTTGAAATGTAGTAGTTTAAAACTGAGCCATCAGAATGTTATTCCTTTTGATACCATTTTAGGTGAAGAATTAAAAATAATGTCAAAGAAATTCTTGTTTTCTAGCAATTTTGCCCTTCAGTTTTAAATTGTGTTTTTGAAAGAACCCTTTAGCTCTGGTTGTGTCTTGTGCATGCTCAAAGAAAATTAAAACAAATGTTTGGTGGCCCCACCCCCAAGAGATCTCATTAACATAGAAAATGTGCATGTCTGTGACGTACATTTGAGAAGACATCGTCGGGCATCGTACACATGTATTTTACGTTCGAACATTCCGCGGTCATGTAAATTGTGTGTGTCCAATATCCATGTTCCTCTTCATTCCAGACGTACCGAAAGGGTGCCAGACTATAATTGTGGGTTCTCAAATGTATGTCACACATAATGCCATCATTTGCCAGAATGAAAACATTCATTTGAAGGGTCAGTAGAATCATGGCGCTATTAAATACAAGGAGTAAGAACGAAGTCCCCACTGACTGTAATCTGATTAACCGCTGGTCAGCTCCATAGACAAAGTGCAGTGTTGATGACCCTGGACATTCTTTGTACACAATGATCACCACCACTGGGTTGCTGGTAACCCACAGCCTTGCCATGTTTCACTGCGGCATACTGGAGTAAATAAATGGTGGAAAAGATAGAGGAACAAGATGCACAGTTCTCCACAGTAGTCTTTAGGAGTCAGCGAGAGATCCCTGCAGATGCGCTCGAAAATTCGAATTGGCGGCAATTATTTGGTGAAAATAGGATGTTTGTAAAGTCAGTTATGATGTTTTGCGGTTCCAGCAGTAGAGAACATATACCCAAAATATGAACTGCGATATTTCTATCGTAATTTGTAATCCTAGTGGTTCCTTTGGTTAAAAGAAGGTTGAAACATGCTGCAAGAATAAATTTGACAATGTGGCCAGGTTTCATGCTAAGACAGTTGTGGACAGTGACACCAAGGACGATGAGTCTTCCCATGTTTTTGTATGTTTTTTCATTTTCCTCTAGACTAGCAACATTCTTTCAGTTTTCTTGTCATGTATTTTTGGAGAATTTGTGTTTGTCAATAATTCTATTTATTGTTCAGAGAGATGTTTTGGGGATGTCAAGACATAACCAGGCTTTCATTATTATTGGAATATCAGAACAATCACTAAAATTATCGAAATTTAAGTCTCTGATGATGGTGGTTTCCTTTGCACGTTCCATGTTGAATGTGCGAAAGTTTACAGACACACGTGCGCAGCACCCATAATTCTTTGCATATGCAACTCCCAGCATTCCTTGTAGCCCGCAAACAGCGCGTAATTGGATTTGTCCTTGCAGTGCAGGAGGTGGCCATCATTGACCCTTTTGATCTCTGTATCCTGTGCTTACTCCTTGTGTTTAATAGCTCCATGGCAACATTAACCACAGCAAAGGGAATGTTACTCCACTGTTACATACGCTATCGTGTTACTGGCATACTAGTGAACAATCTTTTAAACAATTAACATTTTGTCCATGGAGGTCTTCATGGATCCGATAAAACCTTGCTTGCATGCAGTGGCTTAAATGTAACAATGTGGGGGGGGGAAGTAGAAGTCCCTGCTTGGAGGCATCAGAAAGTTTATCCTTCCCTCAGGGTGACTCTCCAGTTGAAATTTTGAAATGTACAAGCTACAGTTGATTTTCAGTTCAGTGCCACCTTGAAGAAAAATGTGTGCATCCCTCGATGTTCCTCAGAAATTTCACCCCAGTTTATAGCATATTGCCTGTATGATTTGGCACTGGGCTGCTGGCTGAAAATTCCATTGAACCAATTGCATCAGACCCATTTCTGCAGCCAACCTCATCAGAGCTTTTCAACCTTGACTTGGCTGTATTTATAAATTGGTCCCTTTTTCTGCAGTCAACGATAGGCACCTGTCACAGCACTTTGGCACTCACAAGACTTGTCATTTGACCTAAACAGGTCATTGACAGGTAGAATGTTGATGCAAATCGATATGGTTCAGATGAGTGAGTCAGGCAATTGTTTTGGGTGTTGGACATTCAAGGAAATGGTACGGTACAATTTCTCCTTTTTTTTTTTACATTTCGCCCTCAAAATGTGAATTTTGCTACATACATGTGGGAAGTGAAATGGGCCCCTCTTTTATTTTGAAGGGGATTGATATCACACATAATAGTCCTGTACTTGGTTGTGGGAAAAAAGACGTACACTGTACTTGCCAATTGATGAAGCGTTAAGAATACATGAAAGATTAACAGAGCAGCTGGGGTCAGTGCAGTATACTTTTTTTCTGAAATTAAGTTGACCGTACCCAGGTGTTCAGTGGAGTATGCCTACTTGGTGCTGAGCTTTGAATGTGATGACAGTGCCTGACCTTGGCCTTGTACATGTAGGTCTTGCCATGGATGCATTCATATAATTGACCTGTCGCTGTAAGTGAGTTAGCCACACGATCCCGTGGAATTTTGCATGTTGAGTGAGTTGTTTGACTCAGATCCTGCGCCTCCCATGTTCGTTCTGCATTATCATGTCATTGGGTCATATTTTACATTCTGTGTTGAAGTACATGTAGTTCTACTGTGATAGGTCATTTTTTGCTGATAACCTACATGTACTTATTTCGGTTTGCTAATTCTACTGATTTGGGTATGAGTTGCCAATCTTAAATCTTCTTTCCTCTGCCTGTCGTTTTGTACAACTTTGTACTGGAGGAGAAAATGTTGAGGGGAGGTGCTGCCTCGAGCCGTTTTAGGGTTAACAGTGGAGTGAGAAATCAGCTTTACTGGTGTAGTTGATTTCAGCTCGTTGTTTTGGTATTTACCCTAAATTTCAGCTTTTTGTTCACCTGTGTACAAAACTGTGGGAGCTTTTTTCATTTCTGCTTTTTGCTGGCTGTTTTCTGCTTTTTTTTATGTGGGGCCGCTGATACCCTTGGGTTTACATGTACATGAAGGCCTACTTTGTTATGCATATACGTCTGTCTTCAGTTCTGTATTGTCCAAGAAGGATTACTGGGTGAACTGGGACTGGGGGAAAAAAATGTATTTACATGTACCTCATTGTTGGACGTCTCACTTCAGTGATACACTGTGATGTCATAGACTAGTCCTTGCTTCTTTCACCTATTCCAGTGTGTGAAGTTGGTAATAGTACACTTTGTAAATTCTAGTGGGAGCAAAAGGTGACAGCCGTTAGGAAGATGTGATATTTTGTCAGTGGTTGAAATTCATGTCTTATTGTCATGCCTCTGTCTTGAATACTGTCTGTTCATTGGCCCAGAATGATCACACGACAGGGCGATATATCCACATATCACACTCACTGTGAGACATCTCATTCTGTCAATAGCACGTGCACGCACACGTGTATGAGGCAGGTGAGCTTCGGGAAGTTTGAGAGCGACCATTGTCGCTCATTTAGTCAGTTTTGTGTGGTACCCATGATACATTTTGTGCATAGGTTACCAGGCAATTCGTTCAATGGTCAGGCTCGTACTGGTATAACAGACTTGTTCCCGTCCCCACAGCATATATGATGTTTTGTAGGATATGATGTTTTGAACACCCTTGGGCATGCATAGCTCCCCGCGGCAGGTGTTCAAAATGTCATATCCCACATCACAGCAGTTAACAATTGTTGATTATTATTCTTATTAATAATCATTTCTTGGAATGACACTAAGGATTCCTTAAAAGTGCCCTAGGCACTGTAGCTTGGAAGCCTAAGAAATCTGTAGAGGGGAGAGTGAGAAGCAGTGACAGGTTTAGAAGTGGGAGGAATACCTCAGAGGAATATGCAGGGTAAAACCCACGGAATCAGGTAGGGACTGACAACCAAATCCACATGTGGACTGAGCTGGGATTAGAACCCACACCGCAGAGGTGGAAGGTGAGGAAAGAACCACTTTGCCAAACTGACAGCCTGAGTTTAAATTTCATCTCTTCAGATCAGTTTGTTATAAATTTGTTGTGCACTGAGCTTGAAGACACCTGCAAGTCTCCTCCAAAAATTTTGTAATACGTAAAGATATTGCTTTTATGCAAGACACATGCAACCAGAACACATCTGATGAGGCGAGTCCGCCCACGCCATACAACTGACTGTTGCAGTAGACCGAGACACCCATTACCCTCAGGATAGGAAAGTATTGCAAAGAATTTGAGATAGAGGCATATTTATTGCAAATGAATTTTGTTGGTAGAAACTTTGACACTTCCTACTAAGTACTCGTTGCCTGTGCAAACCTTACGGTACTGTAAGAGAACCTCTAAAGTCACCCGGGCAATATTCACTTCATTTCCTTAGGATGGGTCTTAGTTATTGTCTCCTTTAAATTTGCATGAGATGTGATGATATTAATCCTGGCTGTGCGCGGTTGATGTTTCCTCTTCCACTTGTCTTGTGTAAATAGCTGACAAAGTAAAGGTTTGATTGCTGCAATTGGCCATAATGAAAAGTCATGATGACAGTGGTTTTATACATATAACCTAACAATTATTCATGAATTCAAAGGAAATCAGTGCAACAAATAAAATAGCATGACTGCAGACGAAGAAAGAGAGAGAGAGAGAGAAAAAGAGACTGATGCTGAACACCGTCATGACAGATTGGCTTATAAAACTTTTGTTTTTTCTTTAATAGAATTCCAGAAACATTTCTATGAGCAGCTAGTTGTTGAATTCTGTCCATCAAGTGTCAGTGAAAAGCTATGGTATATGCATTTCCTCTTTTGAAGCTGCCTGACAGAACAGCGTGTCATCAAACCTGTGGTGATGAGTTTAAATATTTATTTTGTGTCTCACTTTTCTCTGTGTAGGATTTTTTCCTGGTATTTCCTCCCA